TGTGTGCGTGTGTGCGTGTGTGTGTGTGTGTGTGTGTGTCCTCAGAGAGCAGCTACTGGCAGCTCTGCCCTCCCTCCAAGTCCGGCCTGCAGGGGGGGTTGTTGAGCTCTAGTTTCCCGCCCGGCCCCTCGGCGCTGGTGCCGCCTGATGCTCACCTGCAGGAGGGTGGCGACCCCCTGGACGGGGCCCCTTCTCAGCCGCTGCCGCAGCACCGCCCCCTGGCACCCAGCACCTCAGCGTCCGAGCTGTCCCTCCCCGGAGCGCCGGTGCCCCCTCCAGGCCCTGGACCCCCACCCCCCCCTCCTCCACCACCCAAACGACACTGCCGCTCGCTGTCGGTGCCCGAGGACCTGTCGCGCTGCCGCTACACGTGGCGGCCCAGTGCCTCGCGAGTCTGGACGCCCGTCAGCCGCCAGCAGTGCCACGGTGGAGCAGGGGGAGGGGTCACAGGGGGAGGGGTCGCCGGAGGGGGTGTAGGGGTGGGAGTGACAGGGGGCGGAGCCTGTCCTCTCCGCGCCCCCAGCTCCTCCCTGAACTCGTCGCTGCACTCCTCGTCCAGCCCCACCTTTTTTAGCCTCGCTCTGTCGCCGGACTCGCCACTACCGTGGAGCTTCCCCTGGGACCCCAGTGAGGCAGCGGCGGGGGGAGGAGCCTGCTGCTGCTTCTTCCCCTCCCCCTCCTCTTGCTCCTCCTCTCCCTCCCCACTTCACCCGCCCCCGCCTCCTCAGCGGCGTTTCTCCCTCTCCCCGGTGCTCATCAGAGACTCTGCTGCCTCCACCTTCCTGCCCCCGCCTCCAGCGCCCAGCCAAGCGGCAGCGGCGCCTCCACCTGGCTGCGTCACGACGGCGGGCGGCGTGACCGCGGGCGGCCCTGTTCCCGCCTCGCCCTCATCGGCCTGCAGCACGCCATCGTCTCTGCGCCGCAGCCTCCCGCCGCAGCTACCGCGCTGCCACTCGCAGCCATGTGACCTGCTGCTCCTCAAACCGGGTCTGAAGAGACGCCGCGACCCCGACAGACCCTGCGCCCGGCCCGTCCTCGACTTCACCAAGATGACACAGGTAATAAAAACACGCTGCTTGTTTGTTTTCAAAGAATTGAACGGTTTACTGATCGACAGGCGAGCGTCCAGTCAGTCAAGTTATTTGTAAGCACACAGCGAGGGCGCTGAGCCGCCAAACCCCAGATATTGGAGGGGAGTTCTGGACTTTTCCAGAAGGACAAACGAGGGTCGGAGGGTCCACACAGTCGATCTCAGATCGATCATTTACATTCAAAACGTTAAACGCCATCGAGTCTGTCGAGTTCTTTCTAAGTAGATCTGACAGTCGTCAGCGTGACAGTGAAACGAGAGTCCATGTTTCCTGAAACTAGTATTAGCTCCGCCTCTGTTGCGTTATTGGCTGTTCAGGTAGTGTAACGCTCAGACTTCGAGTGGCAGATTTACAGCTGTGAATGTTTCATCCCGCAGACGCGCAGCATCGACCCGCAGTGTCTGGAGCGTGGCGGCGGCAGGCTGGCCTGCGGCGGCGACCTCTGCATGGGCATGGAGCCCTTCATGGGTGACTTCCGGGGCTCCTGCTCGCCGGCCGAGTGCCTGGGCAGGACCAGCATCGGGCCGCTGAGCGAGAGCGACGAGGAGTGCCGCGAGGACGACGAAGGAGAGGAGGAAGCAGACGAGCGTGAGGCGGCGCAGCAGGCGGTGTTCGAGCGGGACTGTACAGAGCTGGACTTGAACTTAATAGAAGAAAACTGACGTATTTGTAAATGAAGGCTGTTCTCTGTTCTTTAGTTTTATTTTGAAATTATCTAACCCCCCATCCCCACTTCCTGGACCGCCACCATCTCAACACTCGGCGCCTCCTTGCCACCAATCAGCAAGGCTCTCAGGAACAACACCTTCTCTCATTGGACGAGCTGATCGACACGACAGTGATGATGTGGCTGCTGCCGTTAAACGCTCACCCGGAGCCTGAGGCGCCGTCGCCCGACGCTCTGCCTCTGAGGCACAGAGTTTCCTCGCCTCAGGCCTTCAAGCGCCATGCCGCAGCAGCGTCCTGAAACAGCATCACCACGCCGACCCGAACCAGAACAGAACCCCGAGCTCCTCTTCCTGAAACGTTCGAGTACGAAATGTGTCAGGTCACGTTCAGGAAACTAAAATATAGATCAGGTACCGAGGAGAAACATTTAGTCTGAAGGGTCTCGGGGTTAAAAGTTAAACTTTGCACTGTAGTGTTCAGCGCCACAGGGGGAGGGGTCATCACTTCCATCACACGAAAAAGAGCCAGAATAAAAAGCGAATACGTTTGTAAATATATTCAGAGTTCCACCGACTCTCCAGGAGAGCTGTGGTACCGCTGCTCCGCTGCAGCGTGAAAACATCGTCAAGGTCAGAATAAACAAACCGGCGTTCAATCTGCTCTGACCTCTGACCTTAGAGAAGAATGGGACGTAGACTGAGCGATATTTCATCCCTTCTGCTTCAGGCTCTGTTGTAAACACAGGTCGGCGTTTCACTTGGACGCCGTCCCGTTTCACAGAGGCGACGCTCAGCGACTCCGCGCTCGTTCCTGAGGCGCTGCCGTTTACAATCGAGCGTGTTCGCTTCATCGTGAAATCTGATGTCACACACACACCTGTCCGGTCACGTGACCTCGGCGTGGTGATGCGTTCAGGCTCCCGGCGGCTGTGCTGAGCGCTGGCAGCCACTGATGCTGTTGTTCACCTGAGTGTTCACAGATTCCTGCTGCACACACCCCAAAACCACTCCCCCCCCCCCCCCCGTGTGTGTGTGTGTGTGTGTGTGTGTGTGTGTGTGTGTGTGTGTGTATTCATATCTTTGTGGGGACCGTCCCCTCGACTTTGAAGACATGTTTGAGACTCGGAACGTGGTTTTAGTGTCAGGGTTACAGTTCGGCTACGGTTAGAGAAAGCATTATGTCAGTTATGTCCCCACAAGTATATGAGTAACCGTGTGTGTGTGTTCTGGCACTGACGTCACAGTCCTGGTGGTCATGTGACTTGTATCCAGACAGTTTGAAGTTTCGGGCAAACAGGTTGAAGAAAGCGAGCTCGATCCACATGAAGGAGTGGACACGAGCTGATGCGAACAGACGTCGGCGTAATGACAAACACTTTGACACATTAGGCTAACACGGAGGGGGTGGGGCTTATAACCCACTCGGGGCCATAGACTCCCAGCTCACCTGTGTAAATCATTAGTATTATCAGGGGCCTCTTTGACCGACAGGTGCTGACATGCTGTGTGGGTAATTGTACTAACAGACCATCCAAGAAGCCCGAGCTCCAGTTTTTTGAGGAAGTTGTCAGGACAAAGTAAAGTACGTCTCTAATATTTGGAGTACACGTTGCCTCTTTTCCTTCTGTGTGACTGCTGGACCTTATGAAGGTTTGTCCCAGCAGGTGTAGCTGTTGGTGTACCAGTCGCACATGGTTGGTTTGGTTACAGGTGCAGTGTTATAGGTCAGCGAGAGTTTTCTGTGTTACAGCAATTACACATTTCTGTGAGTCTGGATTCAGTCTGGATGCTCAGAAACATCGTGCGCTGTGAACATGGAAACGCTGGCTGAAAAAGTGACTTTGCTCTCATTCTAACTTGAAACCCTCAAAAACACAACAAAAACAGTCCTCTGAGCGTCCACTTCATTCTTTACAGTTTTGTATGTGTCACGTTGTATGTGCCCCACAAAAGCTCAACGCAGTAACTATATGAGACTTGACTTTGTTATGTGTTACACGTACGTGACGCTGGGGGAGAAAACAAGTTAAAGCTAGTGTGTCCGCTCTTTACCGTTTCCATTATTTTGAAAAAACATCGTTTTGCTCCAAGATCTCAGTTAAACAGCTGCACTCCACCATAAACAACAAACTGTTAATGCTAAGCGCTAACTAGCCAAGCTTAGCAGAGCAGCAGTAGCCAGAGGAGTATCTGATAAAGTCATGTGGGTAAATTTAATGAAGTAAACTGAGAGAGTAATGCAGATGTTGTATTTATTTCAAAACACTGTGTAATATTTATTTATTTTGTTAGAGTGTAAGACTAAGGTTTAGTTTGGCTCAAACTTTAGCAATACTTTAGCTTGTGTAGTTACTGCGATCTGCCTTTAGGGGGCAGCGCTGCAATCTCATTAACAAATAGTTTTTTGTGGGTTTCAAACTCATCGATGATGAAATGCAAAGTTTCACTTTTTGTGACAGTTTGTACATTTTCGTGTCACATGTAATATCTGCTGGTGATTCTGTGTTAGCACTGATGAAGCCAGTATTTCAAATTTTCAACATATTCAGAAATACAGTCGTCTTCCTCTGATGCTTCACGTTTATGCCTTTAGCATATTACCTTGGCATAAAAATATAGAAGCACAAGAATCTTAGAAAATGTTGGATGGGTTTCACTGAATTCTTTAAACCAACGACTCCCAAAGTCCAGAGTGCTGAGGCCCACTGCAAAACCACAAACTCACATGGGCCTCTAAAGGTTAAATCCTCATCCTAATAAAGTGACATGAGTGATGTATTACCTTGAAATAGCACTTAAAAACTTAAATAGCACACACTGTTGGCTGTACATTGTTAATGCTACCCAGGCATATCACAGTTTATGGCTAAGGTGTGGCACTGGGACACAAACTTTAATACAAGAGCTGTAAATTTAGGCGAAAGTAATGACTAATATCACAAACAGCCTTTTATTATTATTGTTTATATGAATATGTTACTGTACACACTTGTGATTTTCAAACTGAATTTCAATTAATGATGTGGCCTGCCTACAATATCTTCATAGGCCACCAGGGGGCTCCAGTCTGCATTTTGGGAGTCACTGATTTAAACAATCATTATGAACTTGAATTTGCATTAAGAAATTGTGTTTATTCATTAAAGATGTTAGGGTATATTCATTGAAGATGATTAAATCACCTAACGATCATGAAAATCGCCTGTGACACGAGAATAAATTGGCAGAGGTACGCCAGGGTGCTACATGTTTAAATTAAAGTTGTAATAGGTGTCACTTAGAAAGTCCTGATCAGTGCTGAAGGTAAGAAAAAAACAAGGCTACAGGTTAATTTTCCCAAACTTGTGAAAGGAAAAACCCTAAATTCATACTGTGTCCCTGTAACACAATTAAACACAGTGTCCCCATTACACACATAGGAAAGCGCACACACACACACACCCTTCCCGCCCGCCTCCTGGTTTGGTTCGTTTCTGTTGATTGGTCCATAACACTCAGCATAAGCCTTAAGTAAACATACTCTATTATTCTGTAAACATTAAAAAGAAAAAAAGACGAAACTAACAGAGAAGAAAAGGAAACGTGTACTGTAGCTGTTACATTTTTAGTCCTTCTGTTCATTTTCTGCTGTTTTTCTTAATATTTCTAATCTGATGTCTGAGCACGGCGAGACTGTCGTCATGAACGCATCGTGTTTGAAAAAAAAATAAGTGAGAAAAGCTCCGTGACGAGGAGGAGGAGCCGTGTACAGAGTTAGCGAGAGTCTCGGACATTTCTTGTCTTTTAGAAAATGTTTTTTATTGTATGTGATTTCAAAAAAATGACGACATGGCAATTTGAAAAGCAGTTTGTGAATAAATTAAGTTTATTGAGAATTATTTTACAAAGAAAGGGGAAAAACTGGTGTCTCGTGTCTTTATTCGCTCACAGTCGCAGGTTAAAGGAGCACGCCGCCAGTTCATGGACGGTCCAGGAAGCACATGCAGGTTCAGTTCTTATTAAAAATGGGTTAACAGCAAATGTCAGGAAAATGTTGAAGGTTCTTTAACTTCAACTCAATCAGCAGCCAGATGTTTGGAGCTCAGACGGGTGTGTGTTCAGCCCTGACACAGAAAACGTGTGCCAGAGAAACCAGTTTAAAAGAACTTTACCAGTGCAGAGAACGGTGATGAAACCAGTATCTGGGCAAGGTGCGAATATCTAAAGACTGTTTAATAAAGTATTAGTGCGGGGGTGGGGGGATCAGCTCCATGTCGCCTCCGTCTGGCAGATAAAGCTGCACCAGGGAGACGGAGGCGCTTCACTGTTCACGTGTAGGTGATGAGTCATCGCTGAAAGCTAAACTTGACAGTTTATTACAAACAGTGAAAAACGTCCCTGTAAAACTACAGACCAAAGACTGCTGGGAGGCTTCAGTTTTTCTCTGTGGGGGTGCTCTCTGAGGTGGGGGTGCCGCTCCCCTCTGCTCCAGCGCTGGAGGAGGAGGCGGTGACGGCCGGGGCTGAGGTGAAGCTGATGGGGACGATCCTCTCCTTCCCGTCGTTGGCGGGGTTCTCCCGCGGCGCCTGAATCTGCAGCTGGCCTCCCAACAGTGAGCAGGTGACGGCCTCGGGGTCGACGCCGTCCGGCAGGTCGAACTCCTGCCTGAACTCCTGGCACTTGTAGGTGTAGCAGCCCTTCCCGTCCTCCTGCTTCTTCTCCGTTCTGCCACTCACCCTCAGCTTGCGGCCCACCTGCTTCACCGACAGCTCCTCCGGGGAGAACTCCTTCGTGTCCAGGCTGAGGGCAAAGGTGGTGCCGTCCCTCCCCAGCTCCTGGAAGGCGATGGGCTTGAAGACCCCCGTGCAGGAGGATGTCTGATCGATCTCCTCAAAGATCTTCTGGTGCAGCCTCTCCATGAACTCGATGCTCTGCTTCATCTCCTGCATGTGACGGATCATCTCCCGCTCGATGTGGTAGAAAAGCGGCCGTGTCTCGGGCCACAGGCTGCGGACGGGCCAGTGCAT